ACTAACACATGTCGCTTTATTAACTAAATAGTACCACCAATAGTCTAGAATACCACCCACCCCACCCTTTTTTCTTTTTTTTTTTTTTTTGTCCCTCAAACGTTTATCTGTTCACTGGTGAAAATAAGTATTTTAACATATCTCAGTCAATTTCAACATTCTCATATGGTGGCGCCCTCCAGTGGTACTCCTGACTTAATTTGTTGGATATCATCAGAGAAGAAATCCTCTTTCTTTCTCTTAAGTTTCTATCACAAGTCCAGCTCATTTGCTTGTGAAGAAATCCCCATTATCTCTCATTAAACCTTCTTGTATGTTTAAAAGCATTTTCAACATCTAGTCAGAGAAAGAATCCCTGAAAAACAAAACAACAACAACTAAATTTGAGACAATCTTTGTCATAAAATCTTCGATAAGATCCACGAACGTAAAATAAATCTCTGTTTTAGGTATTATGTGTACCAATATCAACATGTTCCATTAGTATAATCAAATAAATAACTTATCTACAACATTCTGAAGTCTTTACAATCACCAAGTGAACTCTCGTTCCAGTATTCCTTGTAAAAAATATCGCAGTATATTTTATTAGGAAGTCACCTATTACAGCAATAATAAACGTTTTTCTCCACGTGTTGATATACAATTAAAGGTGTATATAAGTGTACTGAAATATTTACTACCTATTGTTGAAGGTTGTTTTTGTTTTCTTAATGCGTTCTGTCCACCACAGGGAATCCAACCCCGAATTTTAGCGTTGTAACTCTGTAAACCTACCATCCACCTTAACTAAATGGCGGGATTGATTGGTATAATACTTTCATAGCTGAAAATGGGGAGCGTGGAACCCTGGACCTCCTGATCTGCATCCCGCCATGCTAGCCACTAGGCCAAACCCGTCCATTCCTATAGTAATTAAACAGGTCTATTAAAAACATGTAAAGTATACATATAAAAAAATTCTACTGTTAAAAAAAAAGTATTTTTGATTTTTGAATCAATAAATAACACCAAGGAACGCATTATCATGCTCAAATTATTCGGGCTTTAGATTAATGTCGGTTTCACATGTTAAAAATGTGACAAAAATAAGTCATGAATTTTTGTAGCATTACTAATAGACATTCATTTTTGCAGTGTATCTGGTTTTGTACTTTTATATCCGTCGTTTTGTTGGACGTTACCTATGGTCTGATCATTGGAGTTATCGTCTCTCTCTTTTCTGTTGTGTGGAGAATGCAGAGGTAAGACTAATCTTGAATTTCTTAACACCTTACTGACGCAATAAACGAAACAAAATTACTATAGTAAAAAAAAAGGAGGGGGGTATGTATCCGATTCACTAACAATTCTTGAACGATAATACCGTTCCTGTAAGACCGTTCTGGGCCCGGCATGGCCAGGTGGTTAGGGCGCTCGACTCGCAATCTGCGGGTCATGGGTTCGAATCCCCGTCCCACCAAACATGCTCGCCTTTTCAGCCGTGGGGGCGTTATAATGTGACGGTCAATCCCACTATTCGTTGGTAAAAGATTAGCCCAAGAGTTGGCGGTGGGTGGTGATGACTAGTTGCATTCCCACTGCTAAATTAGGGACGGCTAGCGCAGATAGCCCTCGTGTAGCTTTGCGCGAAATTCAAAAACAAACAAACAGTAAGACCGTTCTAATTTTCAAATAGTTGGAGTAGTTAGAAGTCGTTAATATTTTATAGTTTTATGATAAAAACAACTGTGTTTTTATTGGCAAAAGACTAATTTATCAACGTTTTAGTAATATTTGGTTTATGTTGTCTACCCAGCCACCGTGGTACTGTCCTACAGGAGTTTGGTAGTACGGGCATCTACGTTCCTGGGCCAAAAGTCAAATATCTGGTAAGTAATAACATTCCCACCTCTGAACCACCAAACTGTAAACTCGTATTGGGTTTTTAAGATAATTAATTATCTAAAATCGGCTTTGGCTACAATATGAAGATTTAAAAAAAATAAAAATGTTTCACATTTTTCTAATGAAGAAAAAACAGCAACGTTTGAAAGTTGAAGTTGCGAAACGTTGTTTGTCTTAATTCCTTTTACTATATTGTGACTTTAACCATGTCTTTAAATGCTCAACAGTATAATGACTAACATGCCATGTGGGAACATTTTTCCCTATTTCTTGTATAAGCAATCTTGTATCAGCAAATTATGTAATAACAAAAACATACGACAGGGGTATTAGGAGTAATAAATAACTCCATAATTTCACTTAGCACGAAAGTATTTTGTTTTTTTTAAGTGTTTCATCTTTCACGTATCACTAAACGCCGCGGTCAACTTGAGGGCTTAAAACGTTAAAATTCGGGGCTCGATCACAGCGGGAAGCACAGCACGACACAGAAAGACCATTATGCAGCTTTGTGCTTAACAACAAACAAATATTAAACGCCACAATATACTAAAATTATACTCATAAATATATATTTTTCTTATTCAAATTTAAAGCTGAATTTAACTCAGTAAGTTGTCAGCCCAAACCCATTTGTTTTACAGGATTGGGGAAAAGAAAGATAATTGTACCCATTTGTTTTACAGGATTGGGGAAAAGAAAGATAATTGTACCCATTTGTTTTACAGGATTGAAGAAAAGAAAGATAATTGTACCCATTTGTTTTACAGGATTGAGGAAAAGAAAGATAATTGTACCCATTTGTTTTACAGGATTGAGGAAAAGAAAGATAATTGTACAATTCATTGATTACTACCATCATTTCGCCGTTAAAGACATCATTATCTTGTGAAGTGTAATTAACTAACTATTTTTAAATCGTCTGTAGTTTTTGTCTCGCTTATTAATATCTTCGTAAGCTGTAAATTATACGTGAATCTAATATCAGGTTAAATGAATTGAAATCTGATGTTGTTGTTTTTTAAAACTATCTATTGATTTATTTAACATTCAGTACATTGAAAATGTCTTTTAATGACTTCATTATGGATTTCAAACCGGAGATGGTTAAAACAATCTATCATTCTATTTGTTGTGTGCCATATTTCTATATTCGGGTATTTAATGAGAGGTGGGCCCGACATGGCCAGGTGGTTAGGGCGCTCGACTCGCAATCTGAGGGTCGCGGGTTCGAATCCCCGTCCCACCAAACATGCTCGTCCTTTCAGCCGTATGGGGCGTTATAATGTGACGGTCAATCCCACTATTCGTTGGTAAAAGAGTAGCCCAAGAGTTGGTGGTGGGTGGTGATGACCAGCTGCCTTCCCTGTAGTCTTACACTGCTAAATTAGGGATGGCTAGCGCAGATAGCCCTCGTGTAGCTTTGCGCGAAATTCACAAACAAACAAACAAATTTAATGAGATGTAAGGTCTCACAGTCTAGGCTACAGAAAATTGAAATACTATCTGGAGTACTTTTAAGACAGGAAACATTGTTACTCATGTAGGATAATAAATCTACGATGAGCCGAATGTTAGTCTTTAGCTATATGGGCTTTCATAAGCCCACCAAAATCAGTACGTATTTTAAATAGTACGGTGAACAAAACCAAAACCTGAGTGATAAACCTCGGTCGATAGCCAGAAAAACTCCTTCGGAGTGATGGAAAAAGTACAAAGGTATGAATTTTATGTGTAAAAACATAACCTACACAGTATTAACCATTTATTTTTAAGCTGCAAAATGTCTTAAATATGATAAATATGAAATATTTCTCAGTTTTGTTATTAAATTAATCTTAGTCTAGCATTCATTTAAACATCATACATATTATTAGTCACTATACTTACACAACTCTTGTTTGATAATCGTAATGAAATAAGAATTTGTTAATGTTTCACAACAATAAGGCCAGGCGTGGCTTAATAGTTAATGTACTTAAACTTTGAATCTGTCCCGTTACCAGAAAACACACTCCGCGCTTGAGGGTCATGATATGTTGTAAGAATGACGATATAATCCTACTATTCTGTCAGACAAGGTTGATAGCGAGTGTCATTGAGTAACTGCCTTCCTTATCCTATCAGTACAAAATTAGAGATGTGTATGGGCAGATTAACGCTTGTGAAGCTTTGTATGAAAATTTTAAAACAAACAACATGTCATAACTCTAAAAAAAACGTACTAACCGCATTAACTTAAGCGTTTTATATGTTAAAATTGATTAATCAATCACATACCGGTTTATAGGTTTCACGCGGTTGAAACACTAAAGTGTAACTGTTTTAAAAGTAAACAGCCTTAACCTAAACATTTAAACACTTCTTATACAAGTATTATCAATTTATTTTAAGGTAAACAAGCTGATAATTTCAACTAGAGAACACACTGTGGTTGTCATTATTCTACAAGAAATATGTTTTGGTGAATAACCAGTTAGTCCGATGAATAATCATGGATAATTCAGTGTGGCGTGTTATGTGTTATCCAGATACCTGGTGCTGCAGTATCGGGACTTAGGTCTTGTAGACCTGGGAGGATAAGATGCTACGTAGACCTCTTCCTCCCTTCTGAACTGGCCAGGCATGGCCAGGTGGTTAGGGTCGCAATCTGAGGGTCGCGGATTCGAATCCCCGTTCCACCAAACATGCTCGCCCTATCAACCGTGGGGGGGGGGGGCGTTATAATGTCACGGTCAATCCCACTATTCGTTGGTAAAAGAGTAGCCCAAGAGTTGGCGGTGGGTGGTGATGACTAGCTGCCTTCCCTCTAGTCTTACACTGCTAAATTAGGGACGGCTAGTACAGATAGCCATCGTGTGGCTTTGCACGAAATTCAAAAAAGAAAAAAAAACCTTCTGAACTATTGTTGATTTTTGATCTTATGTGTGGTTGAAAAGATCTCTTGAATATGAAGATAAATACGACATGAGGGTCAGAGTAAACCGTTCTTACCCTGACCGCTTTCATAGCAATGCCCATGTAGGTACTTGCATTTCCATTCTTGTAATTAACATACTATCACTTATATTCGGTGTTGCAAAGTCCTGCACATAGCGAACAGTTCAACATATATTTTTACACATTTCAATAGTTCTAACACTAATCGAGAGTATTTACATGAATACCATTTCAATGCTGCCGTATCAGCTTAGAACTAATGTGATTTCGTTGGTCTAGTGTAAGGTGGCTTTATTAAGTTCTTATTTCTAAGATATATTGTTACAACAGCGGAAGTCACGCGACGTTGGGAGCATGCGCGCTGGAGTTTCTAGAAGGATCATGAATTTTCCTGGCAACTCTAATTTGTTAAAGGCGCCATATTTTTTCTAATATATAAGCCTGGCAAAGAAAGCCAGCGAAATCGGGCAAATAGATTGAAGAGATAGATAATTGAGTCAAGCGAACAATAGGCGCTGTAAATAAAGTGTGTGAATCACTGCGATTTATAGCGTGTGTTATAAAGGTTGTTAAGTTTAAAGTGACTGCGGAAATTCTGTGTACTAAAACGTTGTATCTAGAAAGAATAAACTAGTTTTAATTAAGAAAGGACTTGTATCGCTGAAGTTCCTCGGAAAGAATTTATACCGGAAATTAACAAACGAGCATATGCGTAACAATATATATTGTTACGTCTCCGTTTGTTAATTAACTTTCCGTAACTTCGTTCCGACTGAAATTTTAGCGACACAAGTCCTTACTTAATAAAACTGGTTTATTCTTTCCGAATACAACTTTACTATACACTTATTTTCAACAATCGCGCTAAAACAAACGCTATATCAACGAACGTCAATAATACTCCTGACTGCAGTTCAAATACTCACTATCTACACACACACATTACATTCTTGTCCCGTCACGTTGTCACCCTCTTTTATATACCAGCCTACCCTATCTAGTAAATACTAGAGCATTCACCAAGATACGGGATAGTTCTAGAAACTAGAGGGCGTGAGAATAGTCACGTCATCTCGATGACGCAACACTGCCCCCTCCTTAATATTGTTCGTCCCGAACAATAACCACATACAATAAACCAA